CTGCAAGTGGCTTGACGCTTCAGCATTGTCTGAACCTGGAAGATCATGGATTTTCTCACCTTGTTTTCACTCTGCAGACCCAATATTTGCAGGTTTTAGGAGATTATGTACTTTGACTCTTATCTGTTCTTCATCTTATATATTTTGCAGATTTGGAGTATATGATATATAATATATTAACCACGGTCAGCACTCCGCAATAGATGTGAAATGAAACTTTGTAAGTTGGCTTAGCATCTGCACGTTCCACCCACAACTGCCAGTCTTCAGGAACCGCCATTCAATTCTCCACTTCCACAGCTTCAACTGTCTTAGAGTCTGTGTATGAGTGAGATTGCACAGTTTTCTTTGTGCCTGGTTTATTTCACCTTGCGTAGTGTCGTGCATGTTCGTTCATGGCATCACAAGTGATAGCACTTCTTTTTTTAAAGATTGGATAATGTTCCGTTGTGAATATATGCCGCATTTTCTTCATCTCTTTATCAGTTGACGGACACTTGGACTGACTCTGTATCTTTGCTATTATAAATAATAATGCAGCAAACATGGCAGTGCAGATATCTCTTCAACATTCTGGTTTCCTTTCTTTTGGATATATACTCAAAAGTAGGATCACTGAATCCTATGGTAATTCCATTCTGGGGGCTTTTCAAGGAAACTTTATATTGTTTTCCATAGTGACTGTACTGATTTACATCCCTGCCAACAACATACAGGGATTTTCTTTCCTCTAATCCTCACCAACATTTATTGTCTTTTGTCTTCTGTTAATAGTTATCCTAACGGAAATAAGGTGATAGCTCATTGTGCATTAATTTGCATTTCCCTGATAATTAGTGATATTAGTTATATTTTCATGTGTGTTTTGGCCATGTATGTTTTTAAATAGGAAAATACTGATTTGGCTGATGACCTAGATCCTCAGTGTCACACACACACACTCTTTATTATGGATATTTCTTGAAGTTGCAGTGGGAAGAGGATGATATAACTACACCATTATTAGAGTCAACTATTATTTCCATGGCTTCTTTAATTCATGTCCAGATAAACAGAGATTTTTTTTTTTTTTTTTTAAGGATAAAAGGAGGGAAACATTAACAGACATACAACATTTTACAACATATCACAAGCACAATACAGACAATACAGAGTTCCAAACAAAGTGGTAGGGAATTAACAATGGTGGTTGTATTACATATTGATATCTTCAAAGTGGCTTCTCATGAAAACAGATATAGACATGCAATACTGGTCAACCAAAGACTCATTGACAGTTTCTTTCAGCATAGAAACAGCAGATAGAAGAACAACCATGTTATCTATCCTGTATATACATACATACAAAATTTCTCCTTCTTTCCCTTCTCTTTTCCCACATCCCAGAAGCCCTTTACTCTTCGGTGGTTTCCTATCATTTCACAGTGTCTATCATACCTCCGAGTTTAACTTAACTCTTTCAAGTTTTACACTAGTGACACAATGCGGTGCTTGCACATGTATGTTTGATTTATTTCACTTATGAGTATGGTCTCTAGTTGTGACCATTTAAATATAAAGGCCTCGAGTTTATCTTTCTTTACAGCTGAGTAATATTCCATTATATAAAAGTACCATAATTTTCTTATCCAATCCTCGGTGGATGGACATTTGGGTTGCTTCCACATTTTAGCAATTACAAATTGTGCTGCTATGAACATAGGTGCACATATATCACTGTGATATGATGTTTTTAGATCTTCTGGGAAAATACCCAGCAGGGGGATAGCTGGGTTGAATGGGACCTCTAAACCTAGTTTTCGGAGGAATCTCCAAACTGATTTCCACAGTGGTTTCACCAGTCTGCATTCCCACCAGCAGTGGAGAAGGGTTCCTATTTCTCCACAGCCTCGCCAGCATTTGTTATTGGTTGATTTCTTAATGCTAGCCATTCTTACTGGGGTAAGGTGGAATCTTAGTGTTGTTTTAATTTGCATTTCTCGAATGACTAATGATGTTGAACATTTTCTCATATATTTATTTGCCGTTTGTATCTCCTTGTCTGAGAAATGTGTGTTCATCTCAGCTGCCCATTTTTGGATTGGGTCTTTGAATTTGGAGGGGCTGAAATTTTTTAATTCTTTATATGTTCTAGATAGAAGCCCTTTGTCTGAGGGACAATCAGCTAAAATTTTTTCCAAGTTTGTTGGTTTTCTTTTGACTCTGCTGGTGATTTCTTTAGATGTGCAGAAACTTTTCAGTAGGATGAGATCCCAGTTGTTGATTCTTTCAAGTGTTTCACATGCAATTTGGTTTTTATTCATGAACTCTCTGCCTACCCCTATGTCTTCGAGGTTTTTACCTACTTTCTCTTCCAATAGATTTAGTTAAACAGAGATATTTTGATCTAGACTTTATTGAAATAATGTTTCAAGGTGGAAAAACTGGTTATTCATTTCAGAAGTTGTAATAAATAGCACATTGTATTTTTATTGCCGAGGTATGTAATATATAGAACTATAGGAATCCTAAGGAGGAAATAACTTTAAGAGATGCTCTCCATGAAGACTTCCCAAGTCATGAATTTGAAGTGTGTCAGGTGGCACCTTCCCACATCATGGGAAGATTTATTGCTTAATGATGTGAGCAAAACAAAATGCTCTAATCCCGAGGAAACTACAGCCAACAACAGACTTCACAAATGCTTTACTTCAGGGTGAGAAGTAAAGTATTCCACATTAATTCGGAAGTTTCTCTCATGCTTCTGCATTGGGAACAATTCAATGCTATCTTTACTTGAAGTGTCTCCTTGTTAACACGCTGGCTTTTGGAGATGCATCACACACAGCAGGTTCTGTGATGTGGATTTCTGACCATGGCAAGAGGAGTGAGGTCAGGCTTAAACCGTTATTCCTGAGGCATATGGCTACTGATTTATCAATGCTCTCATTTTTAAGAATTAAATCTTCTCAAGGTTGTATACATTGTATGTCAAAGAAGGTAAAATGTTATATTCTCTCATAACTTCATGAATAAGAATGTATTGCTCTGAGGGACAGAATAAAATGACAAGCTTTATTTGGCGTCTACGTATTCAAAGGGTTATGAAGAGATTAATGGATTTGGCAGTTGGTCAAATCTCTGTGATGTGCACTGTTTTTTTCCACTAGAGTTCAGGGCTCACCACTCCCCAGATGAGTTGCCCACTCATATATGTTCATAAATTGTGGTGTCTTTATTACATCATTTCCAGCCTATCCAGATAAATGCATCGAGGGATTTTTCTCCTTGTAAGCAATTTCCATTTTGGAGGTATTTCTGTTTCCTAATAAATTTCAGAGAGTCAAAGTAGATATCCAAGGCCTGTTTTTATGTATTTCAGCTTTCTATGTTCAGTCAAACTTTGTTTAGGAGATGTCTGACTAGGTAGTTACTAAGATTTGTGAATATTTAGAGAGCTATTATCAGAAATGGGGGTCTGGAGATTCATGTAATCCCACTGGATATAGAATACATTTTCTTTCTTAACTCTGTATTTCAATTTTTGGTAACTTGGATGGGATATTTAGTAACCTATGGGCATAATTACATTGTTTACTAACAGTTTCAACTTTGATCTTTTCCTGACCTACCAGCAGAAGGACGTAAAAAGTATATAAAATTATCGCTGGGGCAGGTCTAAAAGGTACCTCTTCTGCTCATGCTGCTCATTTTGTCTTCAAAGAGAGACCACTTGTTAACTTTCTCTAATTTACCAGCATGCAATATAAATGTGTGCAACCACCCTAAACCTCAGCCTACATTACCCTCTTTCTTTTGCTCCTTCTCTTCCATTCTCTAAATTCTAAATGCAATAATCAGCTTTTTCACTTATTCATAGTAAATGTCAAAAGGAAAGTGTATATATTTATATATTTTGTTCTGGTATTCCTGTTGATTTAATACGAACACAACACTGAATAAATGTTTGTTGGGCAAATAACAACGCAAACAAATGTGAAATGTGTCAGAGTAGGTTTTAATTTTGCTTAAACAACTGAACAGAAAACACATAAAAAATTTTTATGCTTGGTTATTAAGAACATGGCAGTGTGAATTTTACTGGATTTAGGGAGACATTACTCAACCATATACAAAGGTGTATGTAATGATCTAACTCAGTTATAGAGCTTGACTGGTTAGAGTTCCAAGTTTGTAGGAAACTACAGAGAAATATCAGACCGTAATATTTTTGGCCAATGTTTTTTTTTTTCTTTTTTGTCTTTTTCAGACAGGGTTTTACTGTGCAGTTCAGTCTAGCCTTGAATTCATTAAGTAGCCCAGGCTGGCCTCAGACCCACAGCAATCCTCCTGCCTCAGCCTAACGAGTGCTGGGATTGCAGGCATGCTCTACCATACTCGTCCTGGCCAATGTTTTAACCACCAATCTCATCTAAATTTTACTTACCTAGTCTTGGGTCAACTCATTTTTATTGCTGTCTAGTGGAGATACTTGTAAGCATTCAGAGGCTGGCAGCGGGTGTGGGTTGGGCATGTGTGTAGAGAGAATTAAAGTCCCTAAACCAACAGCCAACAGACGAACAATTATCTGAAAACTGACCACCATGTATCCATTACAAGCCAATTCCAATACTAAACTTTCTACTTGAAGAAAATCTCTGGGAGGCTGAGGCAGAGGATCATAAGTTTGAGCCCAGCCTGGGCAATTTAGTGACTTAGTGAAGACCTGTCTCAAAATATAAATGAAGGAATGAATGGGCTTGGAATTTTGCTCAGGGGGAAGGCCCTGGATTCAGTCCCCAGTACTGGAAAAGAAAATAATCTCAGGGGTTCTGGGGAGATAACTTAGCGGCTTTGATTCCCGGCACCACACACACAAAAAAGAAAATCTCACACACAGTCTAACAAAAGTAGCAAAACTAACCCCAAATTTCAGGATTGATGAGGTAGAACTATTGTTTTAAACAAGGCTCCTTCTCAGTACTTTTAACTCAGTTCTCTCTATTGCCTTAGAAAAGAGTCCGCTCGGAAAGCTAAAGCTCAGAGCACAGTTTGGTAGCCCTGCCCAGTCGGTCCCACAGCTCGCGGTGACACTCCTGTTCTGCCACGTAAGACATTCTGAGTTCTCCTCTTCTTAGAGATGGAAATGCGGGGGCTGTAGTACGTGAATTGATTTGAGCACCATGCTCAGAGCCAGGCAAAGGAGCAAAGCGTATTAGCTAAAAAGCCTCAAAGGACACCTCACAGGAGAGTTTCACATTTTCTGCTATGTCGGAATTCTTCCCATTATGTCCACAAATGTTTCCTGAGAGTCCATGAGGCCTTCTCAGCAGTAAGGCCCTGCTGCTGCGGGGAAGTTTCCAGGTGACAGTCAGATGCCAGCAGCTGCAGCGGAGGAGACTCCCAGCTACGGTTATGGGAGGGATGACTGGCTCCTAAAGTAATCAGTGAACCCCTTCTCTGTGACAGGCCCCGCACCAGGTTCTGGGCAGTAGAAGTACCTCCTCTTTATGCTTTGAATTCTTCCAAGTATTTTTTGTTATCTCATTTTATTAGAATTTATCACCTGAAGGAGGAGAGAGAGAAGGTGTGTGACCATCGGGGAAGAGTGTCCAAGAGCAGGAAGCAGATCGGACCCCAGTGTGTCTGGAGCAAGCGGGGGCGGGGAGTGGGGCAGAGGTAAGGCGGAGACGGGAGAGGCGGGCAGACGGTGAGCGCTCACAGCCGCGTCGGCTCAGGCTGCCGTGGAAGACTGCAGACTGGCTAGGTTCAACCACGCTTATTTCCTCGCAGTTCTGAGGGCTGGAAGTCCAAGATAAGGCGCTGTGAGGGGTGGCTTCTGGTGGGGTCTCTTCCTGGTTTGCAGAAGTCCGCTTTCTTGCTGTGTTCTCTTGGGGGCTTTCCTCGGTGTGTGCCTAGCCCAAGCTCTCGTGTTCCTTTCTCTTCCTCAGGGACGTCAGTCCTGTTGGATCAGGGTCCCACTTTTCTGATTTCACTTAGTCTTCATTATCTCCCCAGAGGCCTTGATCTCTAAATATAGTGGCGCTGGGAGTTAGTATTCATGGAGGGATACCCCCGAGCTCCTGAAAAGCCCCGATTGCAGGTAGCTGTAATTCAGAGTGAGGTGAGTCAGCCAGGTGTAGTTCATGCTCTGGGGAGGCTGAGTCAGGAGGAGGCCAGCCTGGACTACATAGTGAGACCTTGTCTCACAAAACAAACCGGAGCAAAACAAGAACTAAGCACTGAAGAGGTGACAAGACTCCTTTCTGAAATGGTAACCTTGCTTGCTGGGAAGCGAGGAGGCAGCTCGGATAAAACGGGAGCCACGGCCGTGAGACCGGCAAATCCCTGAGCGTCATTTGCAGAGATGAATGTGAGCAGCCGCTGGATGTGACACTGGTCACGGCCTGGGGCTCTTTTATGAAGCACTCGATCCCTTTGCCCATGAAGCTCACTGATAAGAATGCTGTGTCTTCGTCTGTTGTAAAACAAGCAAGGCATGTCATGATAATAAGCATCAATTATAGCCAAAATATGAAAGCTTGCTAAGGAAACTTTACAACCGGGAAGGCGGTGTCTCGCTTTATCTCCAGCGGGCTGACATTTCCACTCACTAGCAGTCTAATGAGCTGTCCTGGGTGGAAGGAAACACAGGCAAAGAGAGCGTACCTGCAGAATCCTCGGTGATCTGCCTCGGTGGAGACGCCTTCCTTCCCTCTTCACACAGATGCGGTTTCTCACCATTCAGATCTCAGCTCAGAAATCCTCTGAGCCCCCTCCCCCGACTACTCAGGCCCTTTGTTTTGTTTTTTATATAACACGCTCACTCTCTGATACCTTCTTGAGATGTGTTTGTTGTTTGTTGCACGCCTTCTGCTCCTGGCATCTGCACTCTGATACAACAAGCTTGCTCATCACCACGTCCCCAGGATCTAGGACGGTGCCTGACAGACATGTAGGAAGCACTGCAAAAGTACTTATCAAGTGAATGGGAAGAATCAAAGAAATAACACAAAGACCTGGTCATGTAGCTAACCGAGACCTCCAAGAAAGAAAGCCCTTCTGTGTAGTGCAATGCTGGAGGTTGACAGGGGACCACACAGGGCTGGGCTGCTTTCAGGGCTACACGGTGTGTGTTTTTGATGGTTTATGTGCAGATCTGGGAGCCCGGAGATTGGGGTTTCCATCTGCTCTATCTCTGACTCACGAAGTGACTACAGCACAAATCATTAACTTCCGAAAGCATTAGCGTCTCCATCTGTGTGGTGTTACCAGCTAGTTTAAACATTTAGAAACCTTCATTGGCAAATATGATTCTATTTATGCTGTTTCTTTCAGGAGATTGAGTGCTTCGTGGAAGCGAGCCCTGTTTTTCCCTTTGGTTTCTGAACTGGGCTTCCCAGGCAGGCCAGGTGATTAATTACCCTGGATTCGCCTTCCCCTGCCCCCTTTCCCAGCCCCTCTCAACTCTTGCCTTCGTGGGGGAGGCTGCGTGACTTCCAGGGGCAGGAAAGGCCGTGGCCAGGTAAAGGTGGGCCTTGTGTTATAGCTCCTGCCTTCCTTCTTCTTGATCCCCAACTAGATGCTCCCAGCGGCTCCCTACCGCACAGAAAACGGAGCCCAGCCCAGCGCCCGGGGAGGCATAAAGTTGTGCTCATCTCCTCCTTGATAGTATTGTAAATGAAGTCTCTTTTCCCCAGATCCAAAAGGCTCCCTGCGCACCTCCCGCTTTCCTGCCCTGCCAACCACATCTACTCTTCTTGGAAGGGCCTGGGCCCTGAGAGCATCTGCTGGGCGGCTTCCTTCTTGAAGGTATTAACACCCGAGAGTCAGCCTTCCTCTGTCCCCTGACCCTAACAAACTCTGAAGAAGGAAGGATATTGAGCACGGCAGTTAAAGACATAAGTTTTGGACTTGGACAGACTTGGGTTAAAATATGAGCCTAATCTGTATGTGACGTTTGTGGCCCAAGATCACTAGCTCTGTGACACTGAGAGAGTTACTCAACCTCTCCTGGCCTTGGTGTCCTCAACTGCGATGGGGAAGGGTTGTAAGAATTCAGTAATAATGACTCAGGCCAGGAAGGCTGCGCAGAGCCTGGCATGCAGCTCTGTCCTCTGCTATTGTCAGTTACTGGAGCTTTCTTTATCTACCAAGTCGAGGAGAGCAGCTGGTGCTCTGCTGTGCTCCCGGCCCGTGATTCCCGGAGTTGTTATTGACAGTTCCGGAATTTTTAGTTTAAAAAAGTTAATCTCTACCTTTTTTCGAGACTTCTGACTTGCACAGTTAGAATGATCAAGCAGTTTTCCACCAGGGTGTGAACTGCTCATCAGCTTGTGTCTCACGGCTGGCGTTGCTGGTGGACCCGGGCTGGTACTCAGAAGTGTGACACCCCTCAACATGTGTGCTGTCCACTTCCACATCTGCACAGGAAGATTATGGAAAAGTTCCTATAATTTCCTAGAAAATAAGCATCATAGGGACAGCGAGTCTGGACAGTCTCGACTGGATTATGAATGTGAATGTTTTCTGAGCCCTTTAACTTTTCTTCAGATGTTTGGTATTAGCAATATTTTAAAAATGATTTTACTCTGAAACTGATCTGGTCTAATCCTTTCCATGCAAAGAATGCTGTATTGGCTTTTTATAAGGCACAGATCAATGTAATATCTGCTTAGCGCCATGGATGGAATTTGTTCCTTTATAAAGGAAATATCTCAATAGAGGCATTTAGTATCTATTTTCCAATTTATCAAGTGAAGTGGTGAAGCAGATTTTCTTCAATGGCATGTAATGCTGCTTTTTTGGTTTTAAAGTTTAACATATTCTATAGTTTAAGAGCAATGGAGGAGGCCATTTGTGTCAAGAATTGTCAGCTTCAGAGAGACAGAGGAGGAGGGAGAGAGAGAAAGGGAGAGAGGGAGACAGAGAGAGAGAGAGTGAGAGAGCTAGAGAGCGAGAAAATTGTGAGAAATATTTATAAGTCAGCTGCTACATAGAAGAACTCCAAACCAAAACCTATTTCAAAAAATGTTGGAGGAAATGGTATACCTTTTTATGTGCTTAAGAAAACAGTTAAAAAAAAAAAAAACCTTCACAGCATTGGATCTATTAAGTACATTTATTCCAGTGATTTCCCAGATATTTCCAAGTTCCATTTAAAACAGAAGTCTCCTATCAAGCAATCCTTTGAAATTATTTACTCTTTTATGGTTGTAAAGTATGGAAACATAATACTTTTAATGGAAACCCTAATAAACGGCACATGCTACAAAGTGTCTACTGATACGCTTTATAGGTTGGGATTCCTACATCAGTAGAACTTGCCAGGCTACACTTCTGGCCTCAGTAAATGCCCCAGTGAGGCGCAGTACAGTGTATGGGATGGCAAGGACCATTCCAGCTCACCAAAATATGGCAGCCACAGTTCATCTGAAGGGGAGAGAGTCACGTCAGTAGTCAGAAACAGAATTCTTTGGATGAAGGGCTTTGTTTTGTTTATGGTGACTTGCTGGGCGCCATAGCTTGGGGGGAGGGAAGGTTTTTCTTATGTTCAAGATAAAGCAATTTTTGTAAAAACCCGGTTGCGAATCCCCAGAATAAAGCAGTATGCAATATTTTTAGCACGTTCTTAATTGGCAAGAGAAAAATTAAAACCACTTGGCTTATAATGTTAAAATGGTATTCTGGACAAAGTCACCTCCCTATCAAAAATTTACTGTGTTCCTTCAAATGCATATTTTCATGCAAAATAAATATATTTTAAAGTTATATATCCTTAGTTTTATTCTGAAACAGTACTCACGGCTCACAGATGGATTTTCTCCCCCTGGCAAATTATTTTTCAATGAAATGCTTTCAAAGCATTCTCACTTGGGTATGCTTCGGTTTAACAATTCAGGCATTCTGCATTAACCAGTAATTGATTTATTGACATTTGATGGATTCATACTCACTTTCCATGGTTTAAAAATCTTGTTAAAATGTTGTTAATAATCTGTGGGTATATATTTCAAATAAGTGTCATTAAATTTAGAATAACTGTCATTAAATAGAGAGAATTAAATTTAATGGAGTAGTTACTATATATTTAAATACCAATGGATGATTAGAAACAGATTTATGGGGGGCTTAATCATGGCTGGATAGAATCATGCCTTCATGCCTTTTCAGCAACTATATTCATTTTATTTGTTTTGTTTTATTTTTCTATCTTAAAGTATATGTAGTGCTTCAAAAGCTAACACATCCATTAATTACAGTAGTATTCAAAATTTACAGAATGCATTATATTTCTCAAGACATTTCTATGCTATACATTAATCCACCCTTTGCAGACTCAGAAAAGCCTAAAAATTGGCTGTTAGGAATGAGAAATTCACCTGATTTTGTTCATGTTTACCACTTACTAAAACAGTTGAGCAACTTCTATTAAAATGTCTCTGATGGTATGGGTAGAATATCAAAGACAGATTCTCTTAACAACATTGCTTAGAAATGTCAGTTTGATACACTTAGACTATCATGTTTTAGTTTTGTTTTATTTTTAAATAACAAGACATATCTCCCAAACTATCTGGAGAGGTTGATTTCTTTTCACTGCCCTTCAGCCCACCCTAATCCGAGTGTGGAGCATTTTTTTTTGGATCTCTTTGATCTTCTGTTTGACTTCTGCTTCATGGAAAAATGCTCATAAACCTTCAGAGAAAGGCTTTCTTTACTTTCAGCTTTATTCAAGAATTATAAACAGTGGACAGGTCTATAGCAAAACGATTTTAAGAGCACTTAGGGCCCACATGCTAATTTATTTGCTCACCACCAAAAAGAGGCTTGTTTGGTAAAAAGAAGTTTAAAAAGTTCAACTTTGCTTAGTGAAAAAGAACTCCACTTTTAAGTGGGTAAGAGTATTACATTTCGGGCCTCTTTTCTGAAATATTAAGATCTCTAAAGCAACAATCTTTTTTAAGATGTTATGCCCAAGGATTGGTATGATGTTTGAAATGGCTTCAAGAGTCCTGTTACTCTTGACATGCTGGCAAACACTTCACAGATGTGCCTTCTCATTATAGCCACGCCAAGGGAGAACACAGATCCTGTGACTCCAAGTCTCTGTGTCTAATGTAGGCTCCCCGACATGAGGTTGAGAGCACCCTGTTCCTTCTAATCTATCACTCTTCCACTCTTAGTATCGCTTCCCCATAGATTATGAGACGTACCAGTTGATCTCTACGCCCTTAGGTGTGGGCTAACCGCGGTGCTTACAGATAAAAGCAATGGACATATCAACAAACAAAAGACAAATCTTTGCCATTTGACATTTTTCAATTCTAAGAATATTTTCAGCTTAGAAAAATAAAAAAGAGTTAAAGATTACATATAGTATTCTTATTTTTTAAAAACTATGTATGTTTCTGAAGTTCGATTGGAGTAACAAACAGATATCTCCTGGGCCAAATCAGTACTATGGAGTGATTTAACTTAGGAAAATCACTCATTTCCATATAGAAATTCAGACTTCAATTTCTTCCTTGAAAAGCCAGATCCAACCACACTAGCGCTTTGCCCAGAAATATCAACTGAAAGTAGTAGTGACTGCGTATTTTATAAAGACAGCTTAATTACTTTACAGTCTTCCCCTCTGTCTAACCATGACACTGGCTTTTTCACTCATGCGCTCATGGCCCCCTCTGTGATATTTGGGATTTTGATCCTTGCAGCATGAGATTAATCCAAGACAACTGTGTTCTTGCTGGACCTGTTTGAAGCAACCTGCAAAATCCAAGTTCCTGTTTTCTCAATAGATGTCATCCACTTGGCAGAGTGAGACCCCTGTCTTTAGCAGGTTTTTGTTTGTTTTGCTTCGTTGTGCTTTTTAGACTGAGTCTTGCTACGTAGCCCAGGCTGGCCTTGAGCTGGCAGTGATCCTTCACCACCGTGCCTGGCTTTAACAAGTTATTGTTGAGCAGGTTGGTGCAGAAATGGTTTGGGAAATTTACGAACATCTGCCTCGTAGTTGTACTCTGGCGGCCTTATTGCCAGCAGAGCTGTAGTGGCGTGAGGAGTTCTACTCCCAGCTTCGTGGGAGACAATGCTCTTGCGGTATTAGTGGCATGCAATATGAAGATCACTCTGTGAAATGTCAGTTCCAGGAGGACAGAAACTTTGTTTTCTTTTCTGTTGAATCTCATGTCCCTGGAAAAGTAAGTGTGGCGCATGAGTTAGGCGGATCATGCATAGAGTATCCAAGTTTCAATTTAAGCAGGAAATAGGAGCAATGAGATGCAACATTTTGAATTGCCCAAAGTCAAGCGCCTAGAAACAGCAGAGATTTTTCTTTTAAACAGCAGTGATTTTTACCAAAGTCAGCTTAATTCTAAAATTTGTTCTTTTTTTGCTTTCCATGTTTTCTTTTCAAATATAGAATATTTTGAAACTCTAAGACAGAGGAATCATGAATAGGCTGTGTCCGAGGGACACCAAGACATTTGACAAATTGCCAGTGTTGCCTTTTCCAATTTCACAAAATACGTGAACCTATGAGATTTCATTGGAGAGGGTCTAAGATACCCAGGTAGGATGAAATATTCAGCCTCAGACTCAGGCCTCTAAGCTGGCAGCTGGCCTGCCTGACCACATCTGTTTTCAGCAGGAAGCCTGCAGGGCTGGATTTCCTCTGGGACTCACCTTTGACTCCTGGTTTGTCCCACCAAGGTTTGGAAGTCTGCTCAGAATTCCAGAGCTCTTGGCATCCTTGCGCTCCGTTGTCTGCACCTGCTTTGTCTCAGGTTTTCATCTGTGTACGTTGTGCTGACCTAGCAATCTGGATTTCTCCCTTACTTTGGCATTTGGGGTTGTGTAGTTTTTGACCATGAACAGTTGCCAGACTTAGTCCAGTCATGGGAATTAGGGGACAAGAGTCAAGGCCCTTGACTTAGACTGATCTAAACTGACCAGTTTAGTATGAAACTGGAAAAGTTGTTTAACTTCTATAGCTCATGATTGTATTTGCCTCTTTTTCCCAGAGTTATGGGGATAGCTTCAGTGATGCTAATAAACTTGTGAATTTAAAATGCTCCTGAATTTATTTTTTTCTTTCAAAATTTAATTTATTATTATTATTATTATTATTATTATTTATTTTTTTTTTTGAGGCAGGGTCTCACTATGCAATTCATGCTGGCCTTGAGCTCACGTTATAGCTCAGGCTGGCCTCAAACTTGCAACAATCCACCTGCCTCAGCCTCCCGAGTGCTGGGATAGCCATGCACCACCATGCCTGGCTTTTTTATTTTAACGAGAAAAAAAAAAATGACAAAATAACAACAAAGACAAAAACAAAACAACGCAAGAACAGTAAAAATGATACAAGATTTCTAAATAGGATGATAGGAATTAACAATGGTTGTTATATTACATGTTGTTATCATCAGCAAAGTTGCTCAGATTAGCAGATGTAAGAATGCAAGATTTGCTAGGGGTGGTGGTGCACACCTGTAATCCCAGCACTCAGGAGGCTGAGGCAGGAGGATTGTTGTGAATTCGAGGCTAGCATGGGCTACAAAGTGAACTCAAGTCCAGCCTGAAATGCATAGCAGGACCCTGTCTCAAAAAGATTAAAAAGAATATAAGATTGATCAAACAATTAAAGAGAATAAAAAGTAATAAAGAACATTAGAAATGATACAGAGTTTCACTAAACAAGATGGTAGGAATTCAAAGATGGTTGTTATATTGCATATTGTTGTCTTCAAATTAGTTGTTCAGATTACCAGATATAAGTATGCAAAATTGGGCATGAAAAAAATTTAAGCATTAACTGTTCCTTTCAATAAACCAATAGACATCAGCAGTACAATTATCCCAGCTATCCTTGTATATATATATATATATATATATATATATATATTTCCCTTCCTTCTTTCTTTCTTTTCTCCTTTCCCTCAACCCAGTTGTTCCTTCCCTTTGAGTAATTTCTTGCCTTCACA